TTTTGTTGGAAAGGAATACAGCCGCAAACAACAGCAGTAATGGGCGTTAGATTCAGTGTTCCTATCTTATCTTATCTCTTAGCTAGATTCCGTGTTCCTATCTTATCTCTTAACTAGATTCAGTGTTCCTATCTTATCTCTTAGCTAGATTCAATGTTCCTATCTTATCTCTTAGCTAAATTCAGTGTTCCTATTAATTAGGCAGTAGCATTATTGTTTCTTATGTCTTTTAGAAAGTTTCTTAATTTTTTTTTAGAAAGTTTCCTTTTAGAAAGTTTCCTAATGTTTTTTAGAAAGTCTCTTTTTAGAAAGTTTCTTAATGTTTTTTAGAAAGTTTCCTTAAGAAGGACTCTTGTAATTCCTATTTAAAGGAGCAGATGTTATTCAATAAAACTATCGATAATTTCAGTCAAGAAAGAGCATAGGAGAGTTGGTGATCTCTTTAACAAATCACCATAAAGGCACTAAAGATAGGTTCCTCAAGAAGTTTTCCCCATTAACCGACCTGTGACGAGATCCTATTCGCGGGCCCTTAACACAACCACCTGAATTTTTTCCTTTCATTGCTATAGTTCCATAACCCAGCCTTGTCTTCTTTCAGCCACCCTAGTACCACCTCCGGATCCCCTTCAATTACAAGCCTCCTAATATTCATTTCCTTTGCCCTTTGGACACCTTGCATGACTACAGAGATCTCAGCCCTGAGAGAGTCACCTACCCCAATAGGGCCTTAAAACATGGTTGGGACAGTCCCATTCTCATCCCTAAACACACCCCCAATGCCTAATTTCCTAGGGTTCCCTCTACTACTACCATCAAAGTTCAGCTTTATAAAACCAGTGGGGGGAGGGACCCAAGATAGACTTAGACCCATTTTGACCAAGGCAAAACTAGCAATCTCTCTCCACTTTCTCAACAGATCATCCATTGTAAAGTCTGTGAATAAATCCGAATATTTCAACCATTGTACCACCCTTATATGAATCGAATCTATCAAATTTTCAATGCTTCTCTCTCTTTCAGAGAAGATTCTTGAGTTCCTTTCTTCCCAAAATGACCAGCACACAGCAGACCTTAGACATCTCCACATAGTCCTACCCCTCTTCAAATGCCATATGAAGAATGAAGAAGAAAATAGACTTTGCACATTCAAAGGGGGGTTCCACCTACACCCAAAAAGGGAAAATGCCCATTCCCAAATAGTTTTGGTAAATTGGCAAGAAACCAATAGGTGATAACTAGTCTCCCCATCAACTTTACAGAGAATACAGCTGTAAGGGGATAAACATGTCTTGTGTCTCTTTCTTTGAAGAAGATCACTAGTGTTGATTCTTTCCAAAAAAGTTTTCCAACAAAAACTCCCAACCCTAGGAGGAATTGGCTTGCACCAAATCTCTTTAACAGGGAAGGATAAACCTACGGGGCCAGTTGGCTGAGTTAAGACTTTAAAGAAAGAGGCACAAGAGAAAGAGCCCAAGGGGGAGGGGATCCAAATTCTGATGTCTTCATTTGTGGGGGCCAAGAAAATATTAGGAAACTTTCTAAAAAACATTAGGAAACTAGTAACAAGTCATGGATGGCTTTCCAAGGTGAAGCACTTGTAGTCCTTGCCAAAATTCCAGGATCCCATCCATTATCCTCCAGCCCATGAATGCTAGCCACTATTTTAGCCCACAACTTCCCACTTTTTATAGTAGTATAGCTTTATGACATAAATATCAAGGTTATCCTCATTTTGATAGCCTTAATTCCACTTTATATTATGGTTTATTTTGTTGTAAATTGCCCCTATTGTATCCCTTTTACAATTCATGTAATAATTATTATTTGAATATAAATAATATATTCCAATTTCCAGTTAATACTTCTGTTTCTCTTTTGCTACTCTTGGATTACTTCATACTTCACACTTTCACATTGATTTATGATGTCCCATCTTGGTGATATCTTTGATTAGAACTTAGATATTTTATCTTGTTCATTGATGATTATACTGAATATACATTAACCTATTCCTTCCACAAGGAATTAGTTCTTCCTTTAAAACTTTCTATGCTATGGTTCTTTTCACATAAATTTTGTATGCTTAGGTTCATTGGAAGAACACATAAATAGGAAATTTAGGCAGTCATTATATACTTACGAAATTTACCACAAGGGGCGAAGCCAGGGGATCATGCCCCCCCTATGGCTTAAAAAATCCTACAATCCCATTTGTATTTTACATATATTTTGTCCTTCTCATCTATGTTTATTGACTCTTGGCCCCCCCAATCTATGTTCATTAGCCTTTGGCCCCGCTACTAAAAAAATCCTGGCTCCAACCCTGTTTAGCACATTGTTCATGTCCTAGAACCCTTCAACAAAATGGTGTAGCTGAGAGGATGAACTGTCATATTTCAGGAGTCACATGGACCTTTAAGATTCTTTTGCTCCTTCCTTATAAGTGGAAGCAATTATCATAGCTATGTAATTGCTACATCAGTATTGCATGGAAAATCTCCTTTTCACAGATTGTTTTATCATGCACCTGATTATTATGTATTTTATGTGCTTGGTTGTGTTTGATTTGTTCATTTACACCCACATGAGAACAGTACACTCACATCACAGGCAGTAATTTGTGGTTCTGTAGGGTATACCATAGTACTAAACAGAAAAAAATGTTCTTCAATATAATTATACCATCCATTGCTTTTGTATCTTTAATATGGTATTACCATTCTCATTCCCAGCTTATATTTTCTCAAACTTGCATAAATGTTCACAATGAATAGGCATGTCTCACTTACTGAACTTAACAATGCCATATAAATTTCTGGTGAGCTATCCTGAGGTAAACAAAAAGCCATAACTAAATCTCAATCAAGCATTTGAAGGTCCGAGAATGCAAAAGTACCTGTTCATCTTCTTCGTCACAATATCCAAGTAAAGAGACTAGGTTTCGATGATGTAACCTTGATAACAATTCTATTTCAGTAAAGAACTCCTTTTCACCTTGTAATGATCCCTCTTGTGCACGCTTTATGGCCACCACTGTGCCATCAGCTAGAATACCTCTATAGACCTTCCCATAACCTCCTTGGCCAACTTGTGTGGAGCTGCTAAAATTATTTGTAGCCAGTGACACTTCTTCAAAGGTAAAGTCTTTAATGCCATCAATCTTGATTGGGATCTTGGACACTGCAAAAAAGAAAAAAAAAAGAAGAAATAAAGCACAACTTGAGATGAGCTTTAGTAACTAAAAACATGTGCTGTACAACAACATATACTGTCCTTTTCTATTTATGAAATGATAAAAAAAGATAGAGTCAACTCAACTAGGCCTTGTGCCAAATTGTTCAGTACATTACACATTGTTAAACCATAGGCCCTTAAATCATGTAGTCTCTGTGATTCAGGTATTAGATCAAGGAACAAGATTTGCATATTTACTGATATAAAAGACATACTTATATATGAATTACTGTGAAAACCCAGAAGAAGAGCACGTTAACTGTCCCAAAAGTTTCTTTGCCCCCCCCCCTCTTTCTTTTAGGTACCATGGAACATGAGGATTAAAGTTGGCTGTTCCATATCTACCTTTTCAAACTGATAAAAACATATAAAATATATTTTAGAGAACTTTTTGAAACTTTTTTTAACAAATCAAAAGTGATATACAAATAAGAAAATCAGCAAGAGGAAGAACTAAAAGATACAGGATTAAAGCAAAAGAACCACAAGAAGGTTCACTAAAATTTCCTAATATAACCACCCTTCTAAACCTAACTTCAAGTACAGAAAGTCTCTATCAATCCCATCCTTGGCAAGGGTATCAGATAGTTTCCTGATCTAGGAATCCAGCTAAACAAGTCACCTGGTGGCTAATGATCTTGCCACTCTTCTACGGGTATGAAGAGTCCAAGGACCATTAGAGAGATTCCTCATGACGAGCCTTCTTCCACCTCTAATATTAACATATTGATGCAGAGATAATATCTATGCTCTTATCGATGCATGTAGCCTCTCCAATTGGGTCGGAGTATGCTGCAATCACATCACTTCAGTAGTTCCTGAAAGCACAAGCAATGCCCAAAGGTGCAGGATTGCCTAAGCAACAGCTGTCAAAGTTGATTTTCATCTTGCCATCTATTGAGGAAGATCATGGCCTTTGGACAGGCTACATTCCAAAGGAAAGGATCAATAGGACTCCTCTAAACTCTTCTATTGCGAGTTTCTGAAAACATCATGAAGATTTATAGAGGATATGCAGCACAGAGTTGAAATTGAGGGATGGCTCTAAACTTATATTTCAGGTAGATGATTGGAATGGTTTGGCAATTTCAGATCCTTGTGACCAAGGCTTTATGGGACTTCCTGTTTCAGGTAGGAAGGCTGTGTTTATGCGGTAAAAATGTCGAACCGGGGTGTTTATGGACCCAGGTTCGGATTTGTGAGCGTTTGTTTGCCATACAAAAATGCAACGATTAAGAGTGTAAAAATGCCTTTTCTGACATCTTCATATCGTGAGGAGACTGCATTACTGTACCCATCCTTTGGATACAAAATTGTAATTTTCAAATCTTTATGTAAAAGGTGGCCACAAGCCAAGCCGAGCCGAGCTCGAGCCCAATTTATAGGCTCGATTAATAAACGAGTCGAGCTCGAATATATATATATATATATATATATATATATACATATATATATATGTAATAAAATTATTATAATTCTTAATTTTTTAAGTATCAAATAAAAATATTTTTTATATAATTTTTTATTTTTATAAAACCTTTTTTCTCAAATCGAGCTTGAGCTCAATGTTCTAGTTCGAACCGAGCTCGAGTACAACCTTGGCGAGCTGAGCTCGAGCCTTGTACTATTCGGCTCGGCTTGAATCCACCCCTAAAACGGCTTACTTTATTCCCTCAATTGAGTGAGAGAGAGACCACCATACAGCCTTTTGCATCGATTTGAAACAAACAAGAAGAGAACATAATGGGTTTACAACTATGAACCATTTTGCATACGCAGCCGAAGGAACATCTCTGAGTTCTTCACATCATGGGGAGTACAAACATTTGGGAATCTTACCTTCCCTATACACCTTTGAGTAAAGAGAAAACAGAATACATTATCCTTTTCCAAAAAGCCATTCATTATACCATTTTAAGAAAGGAAACCAAGTGGAAGAAGTCTCAAGGAAAAATCGCAATCAAATTATTCTACCATGAACTTGCTAGAGGAGTTATAGTCTTATAGAAATGGAACGTTCTAAGGATAATTTCAGTAAAGCCCTTTTTATGATGCTGTTAGGCAAGGTGAGTTATTCTAGAGTCCTCAAGGTTTGAGAAATTTTGCATGGTTGTAATAGTTTATACTTTTCCAAAAGCATGACCAGTTCCCAAAGCCTTTTAGATTTTATGAAATGTGGTTGGCTGATAATTCTTGTAATGAAGTTATCCAGTATGGTTGGGAATTACAGACTCAAGGATATGCTGCCTACCGTTTGTCTCAAAAGATGAGTCAAATTAAATCTGATCTTATTCATTGGCAGAAAGTGAAATTCAAAGATCCCCAAAAGAAGTTAAGTGAGTTGGAGCAACAAATTATCTATGTGGAGCAATCTACACCTTGGAATCAATCACAACTCTCAACTTTGTATAAACTCTATGATGATACTCAATCACAAATAGAGAGGTTTTGGAGACAACGATCCAGACAAATCTTGCAGTCATTGGGTGACAAGAACACAATTTTTTTTTCCATAAGAGTACTTTATGCCGACAAAGGAAGAATGAAATACAAGGAGTCAAAGATAGTACTAATTCTTGGGTGATAGATCATAAAGATATCTCGGATGTTCTTATCTCATATTTTTCAGAGTTATTTTCTCATCAACCTCAATCCAATTTATCCTTTGTGTCAGACCTTTTTACCCCCCTCATTTTAGAGAATGAAAATAACTTTTTAACTACCATCCCCTCTAAAGATGAAATTAAAACAACTTTATTCAGTATTGGTAGTCTAAAATCTCCTGCACCGGATGGAATGCCAGCATTAGTCTATAAACAGTACTAGGACCTAATGGGCTCTGAAATTGTAGCTTTTGCTCAAGAATTTTTTCAGAACAAGAAATTACTTAAAAGTCTTAATCATATTTTTCTCTGTCTAATCCCAAAAAGGATAAATTGTACCAAGGTCTAGGATTATCGTCCCATTAGTCTATGCAAAAATTTTAGCTACTAGAATCCATACGGTCCTGGATAAGTGTATTTCCCTGAACCAAGCTACTTTTGTACCAGGTCGTTAGATAATGGATAATACCACTATAGCACATTAAATGTTCCATTTCTTAAAACAACATTAACAGGGTACAGGCTATGTGAACATCAAGTTAGATATGGCAAAAGCCTATGACAAACTAGAATGGTCTTTTCTTCTTTCAGTACTAACAGCTTTAGGTTTTTCTGAAGACTTTTGTCAAATCATCCTAGAATGTATTTCCACTGTCTCCTATTCCATTCTAATCAATGGTACTTCTGAAGGGAAAATTCTACCTACAAGAGGACTTAGACAAGGGGACCCTTTATCCCCCTATTTATTTATTCTGGCCATGGAATGTCTCACCCGAATGATTGTCGAGGCTGAAAATGACCAACAACTCCAAGGTATCCAAATATCTGCTAGAGCTCCCCCAATTACCCATTTATTCTTTGCAGATGACATTCTTTCATTTATGAGAGCACATAGAGAGGAACTAGAAAACCTTAAAACTATCCTCCAGCAATTCTAGGACGCCTCAGGACAACTGATCAATTTAGAAAAATCTGGAATTTATTTCAGTAGAAACATTCATCCTAGGCATCAAAGAATGATCCGTCGTCAGCTTCATATTCAAACCCTTCTTGCAAACTCTAAATATCTTGGCCTACCTCTAATTTGGGGTCGTAATAAACACTCCCAAATTTCCTATATCTTGGATAATCTCAAAGGCAAACTCAATAACTGGAAAGCTACTGCAATAAGTCAAGCTGGCAAAAGAGTTCTAATTCAATTTGTACTTCAAGCGATGCCAACTTATACCATGTCTGTGGTACAACTACCCCAAAAAACCCTGACTTCTATAGAACAGATTATAAAAGACTTTTGGTGGGCCCGATCTGATTCCAATCCTCATCCTTATCGTTGGTGTTCTTGGAGTTCCTTAGCCATCCCTAAATCCTCAAGAGGATTAGGTTTTAGACGCATCAAATTAATAAATTTAGTTCTTAAAAAATTAGCCTGGAGATACCTTAATGAACAACATAAATTATGGGCCCAAATTTGGAAATCAAAATATCTCCCCATTCACTTTCTCTTTCCTACTAATATCCCTTCACATAGTTCTCTTTACTGGAAATCAACTACCCCTAAATTACAAATATTACTTCAAGAAATAGGTTTCTTAGTTAAAACATCTTCCTTAGAACATATTGCTCATCTACCATGGATCCAAACAGCTGAGAAGTTTCACATGACACCTCAGCCCATTTCCTTCCATGTCTCTCAGCTTGCATTCAATAATATTATTGGCCATAATGCCTGTGTTGGAAAGTAGAAGATTGACTCTCTGATTGATTCTCCATAATTTTAGGTCCATCAGTTTAGGAAACTTAATTTCCTAGAATCATGGGATATTAATTGGAGAATCCCACTGATATAGAAATTAGTTTTTTAGGAAAAGTTAGTTTCCTATTTTATCACCCTGTAAATTAGCTCTATAATTCTATATAAAGTTGTGTATATGCTCCTTCCAAGACAATACAACCAATTCATTTTTCTCTCAAATTTTCACAGCCTGTAATACCCCCATTCTGCAGCAATTTTTCAATACAGATCAAGTTGATCAGATTTTACAAACCCCAATTTTCCCAATCAGTACCTCCATTTCCTAGATCTGGACTAAACATCCTTCAGGTAAATTTTCTTCTACTGAAGCTTATAGAGACCTAGTCCAAGCTTCTCTTCCCAATGTTTCTGATCATCTTAAAGATTGTTTCAAATGGATTTGGAAGCTTCCCTGCCCTCTCCGCTATCAATTATTTATTTGGAGAATTATCCAAAACTCCATACCTGTTAAAACACAGATTTTCTCTTCTCAGGACCATAACTGTGTTTTTTGTCAAAACCAGCCAGAAACTTTGAATCACCTCTTTTTGGATTGTTCTTTCACCTAACCCATCCTCTTTGCTTCGCCTTGGAATATAAATTTTTCTATTACTCATTGTTCCAATTGGCTGGATTGCATTTTGCATCTGCGTACTCTTTTCACTGACAAAAATACTTTTTTAAAAACTCTTGGTTGGTAAGCAATTGCACTTTATTATATCTGGTTTGCGTGAAATGAAAAATCATTTAAAGACATTACTGTTTCAAATCACTGGATTTTGCACAAAACTAATACTGTGTTTAACAATCTTTCAACTTCTCCCATTGTGCATGAACCTTTACCAATTTCAACTTCCATCTTAACTATATCTGTGCAACCATATATAGATGGCATCCTTTTTACAGATGCAGGGAAGATTTCTTCTGATGAATTTTGCTTTGGAACTATCCTCCTCAATCGGCAATTGGAATGTATTCAAATCTCAGGAGGTCGAAAATTTTTGAATTCAGTCAAAGCTGCGGAACTCTTTGCTATATATCAAGGTCTATTCCAAGCACAACGATTTAGTAAACGGCACATTTTGGTTTTCTCAGACTCACAAACAGCTGTGCAAGCCTTACAAGGAAAAGCATCCATCCATTGGTCTCTTCTGCATCTTCTGAGCCAAACAATCAACCTTCTTCAAGAATTTCAATCCGTGGCTTGTATTCACATAAATAAAAAATACAACATTACAGCTCATCAGATTGCATACAGAAGTAAAACTACCAATCAGGATTATTTTACTTATCCTTCTGATGTAACTGATATCTCAAACTTTGTATCTATTTCTTTATCTTAATATATTTTACTTTACCTTTCAAAAAAAAACCTGTTATGTGCCAATATTAGTTCATTTATACTTGATGGTATTTTTCAGTCACAAGGAGTTCTTGAGGGCTTGAACAGGATAGCCATTAGAAGGCGGTTCTCAGATGGCATCAAAAAATTCAATATAGTGAATAATATTGTATAGAGAGCACACATTGTATACATTTTCTCTATGCTATTACTGTATTTTGTCTTAATGCAGTTCTACATTTCTACCCCTCTTAATAATATTTGTATTGCTTATCCAAAAAAACAAAACAAAACAAAACAAAGATACCTACCTTGACGTTTTCCTGTAACTGTACGATGTTTTCTCGTACATCTTCTTGTAACAAATATTGAAATAATTGCAGTTAACGTAGCTGCAACTGCAACTGCCCCAAATATAATTCCAACCAACGCACCCGTACTTAATCCTGACTTTTGAGAATCCAGAATGACTGCAATACAAACAATAACCATGGACCAGAAAAAAGTTTATGTGAAGAGTTATGGATATGATATCTAATTTATGAAACAACATATAAAGTTATAAACAAACTAAGATAAGTATAGTTCTTCTGTTTCTAAACCAGATTCATGATGTAGAGGAAATTTTAAGATGAAACTTCATAGACTACAAACGATGGCATCCAAAGGCCTGGCAAGGCATATATTATATATGTAGGGCAGAGGAGGCACCAGTTCTTATCTTTAGAACAAATAATGAAAATGGTAAAAAAAAAAGGACCATATGCCCAAAGATGAGCTGGATTTTTGTCCTAAAGATGTCCAGATGAGAGCATTGATTGGTGGAATTACACTTAACCTCCTGCATATATAACAAATTTACAACCAGGCTCTTGGTTACTAACCCTTGCAATCTACTTAAAGATTCATCCGATATACAAAATCTCCCAGATTTCATATAAAGCCAAATAGGCTTTAACATTCATCTCAAGAAGGAGAGATTAATGTGGATAGGCCGGATGAAGGATGGTGGAAAGAGTGCAGGAATGGCAGATTTACAGCTAAATCATTCTACAACACACTGTCAAGAAATTAGGTGGTTGAAAACAAGGTTGAAGGAGTATGGGAAAACCCAGTTCCTCCAAAAGTGGAGGCCTTTGCATGGCTGGTTTTGCTAGATAGTATTCTTACACAGAACCATTATCAAGAGTAGAGGTTTCCAATTTGCCAACAGATGTGCTCTTTGTGAGCCAATGGAAGAAGATGTTCTTCACTTATATTATGAATGCAGTTTCTCATAGTGTGGGGCTTTTTCTTCTGTCTCTTTAACAATGCTGTTTGGATTCCGAGGTCACCAGGAGAAATTTTCACCAGCTGGCCTACTCTACAGGGAAGTAAAAAAGCTAAAATATTCTAGAGTTGTATTCCATTTCTTGTGTGCTGGCCTGCTGGGAAGTGTGGAAAGAAAGGAATAGAAGGGATCTTCGAAGGAAAAAAGGCTACAATAGGAATGAAGATGTGTTTAACGATTGATTAAAACATTATGGATTGAATATTTATACTACCAGAATTTAGAGATGTCTTGATAGATTCTCTTGAAGAAAAGTTTTGGGAAACACTTGAATTGAATGGGACTGTCAGATAATTTTTGTATTGATGTAAAAGTTTGATATAATTGTTTTTTCTTTTTCTTTTGGTGATCTCTCATCACCTTATGTATTCTTGATGTACCTTTTTTCTACTTAATGATTGCTACCAAAAACATCCATCTCAACATAGGTTTGTCTTTTAAAAGAATCTTCTTTTTCTATATCAAAATATCACATATGGAAGAAGCAAGATAAAGTTTTCATACATACATGTTTGATATGGTCCCAAGAGAGTAAAGTTGATAAGTTCATATGGCCCAAAAACATCACTGTCAGGAATATGCCATCCTGTGAACATACTCCTGATTCTTTGAATTTCACTCTCATTAAAGATGCTCTGGTCACCCACCGGTGGAAAAAGCTTCAAGTACATCCTCAACCGAGGGCCTTCTTCCCAGATAAAATTTTCAATTGACAGCTGATAAAGTTTCAATTCAAGACCTGATGTTAAGTATACTTCAAAATTGCTCAAATATGGAAGGAAATCTGAAAATCCAGGACTTTTTAACCGATATCCAACTCTAAGAGGTGCTGCACAGACGCAACGTTCAGGAGATTCTGGGATGTATTCAAAGTAATCGTCAGTAGGACATGATTGAACAAGACAAATAGCTGTAGAGTTGATTGTGCTCTGAGATGTGTCTTCAGATCCAGTCTGAGGTCCACAGAACTCAGTTATGTTGAAAAGATTGGAGTTACATAAGGGATTTCCTTGAAGCCTGAAGATAGTGCAAAAGGAAATAAGATCAGTAAAAGGACATAAATATGACGTTATTTCCTTTAGGATAATACAAGGATTATACCATAAAAACAATTGGAGCACAACTACACAGACATATCAATGTATAGAGAACTGCTACTAAAGTACAAAGCATCACATATTGATGAAAATTAGTTATATTTTTTTTATCAGCAAAAAAATCTTTCATTAATAACAGAGAAATTAAGATACAATAGATAAAGATTGCAGTGGAATAAACTGCAATCTCCAGCAATCAGTTACAATTCTGCCCAATACAATGAAGATCTATTTGCCCCTTGTTTTGCTAGGGTATCCACCATCCCATTTGCATCCCTTTTGACCCAACCAAACTGAGAGTTGAACTTCCTTGCAAGTGTGTCAATTTCTCTGAAAATAAATTTGAGTTTCCAAGGTACTGATGTGATGTTTTTGGCCCAAGAGATTACCAATAGTGAGTCTCCTACTATTTCTAAGTCTGTTGTTCCTATCTGCTCAGCCATCTTTAAACCTTGAAGTAGGGCTAGAGATTCAGCCTGTAATGAGTCACCAAAACCTATTGGTCCTGAGTAGAGTGCCACCACTACACCCAGATGATTTCTAAACACACCCCCAATGCCTGCCCTTCCAGGGTTGCCAAGAGAACTCCCATCAAAGTTCAGTTTTAGTTTGTTCAGTGCTGGTGGCTTCCATTCCATGCTTACAAGAACTTTGGGTACATCTGTTTGTGCTACTTCAGCCCAATTTCTTAGAATCTCATTCGTGGAGTAGTTTCTGAATATCTCCATGGTCTTCACCCAATGAAAACTAGTTATAATTAATGATACAAGATAAAAGTAAAATCTGAGTATGTATTACACAAATTCTGAGTATGGATCAGTGATGCTTCACATGTAGAAACTTACATGATGGTGACATTGGCAGGGGGACTAAGATTGCCTGAAATATTTGAAAGTAAATTATTCCGAAAATCCCTGTCAATATCAAGTATGTAAAATAAATTTAGAAGACAGTTCTATCATAAACTTGAGGTATTGCTAGGTGACTTAGAGTACACTATTATACAGCCAGATAACAGATAAAATCTTGATGTCATTGTGAAAGCAGTGCGTTAAGTACAAAAGTTTGCTTGGTGATACTTATAATATACTTCAAATGCCATAAAAGAAAAAGGGAAATGCTGCTTTTTGGCTTCAGATCTTACAAGATGATGCTTTCAGTTTTATTCAGAGTCCTGTTGCCCAAGATAGTTGATGGAAAAGAACCACTCAAAAAATTGTTCTCTAGTGATCTGCAATGACAAATGTGATGGAGAATAAATCCGTCTACCACAAATGTTTAGCTTTTTTATTGGTACTGCTTTGAAATAAGAATATCCGAAGAATATTTACTAATCTCTGAAAATGAAATTTTCACTGAACATAAAAACTCAGAATGACCAATAGCCTTGTATAAAGAAAAGGAGAAATGGAGTACCGATTTACTTACAATCTCTGTAGGAGAGGAAGACCTGAAAAGGAAGAAGGAATAGGCCCACTAAGATTATTGTTTGACAGATTGCTGCATAAATTGTTCAACACCAACAAGGCAAAAATTCCGTTATTCATAGTTCAACATAAATTCATGTAAACACTTGAATGCTCCATGCAGAGAATGAGCTATTGAAATAACTTAAATATTAGAAGATTATGGGCCAAGCATATCTAAATGGATGCAGGATGTAAATGCCTTAGTAGAAAGAGGGGAAATCAATACATGGTAGTGATATTGTCAGAAAGCTTATTTGGTGGTATGGATCCATTAAGCTGGTTCAAACTGAGATCTCTGTAATGTGAATGACATAAAGAAAAAAAAAACGCTTATCATCAACCATAAATTAAAATGACTTCACAAAAATGTAGTGAAATTTATCAGAAAAAATAAGAAATAAAGAAGCTCCCATTCTCCCAATACTGATAAACTTACAAATATCCAAGGTTCGGAATCCTGCTTAGATCAGGAATTGAACCTTGCAGGCTGCAGTTCCTGAGACTCCTGATAGACCGAACAGAACATAATTTTAGCATTGGCTACAAGCATTGCACAGGAAATGCTATACATGTGTGCATGCATATATTTCTTGTACTTCCTCAAAATGGAATTGGCCTCTATTAATATGGAAATTATGCAATCTTTGTTTGAAATAATAATATAATAAGCTTCACTCAACAGGTAAAGTTTACACTGAATTATAACATAATATAACTGCATTGCAACAGGACATGTTCACATAAAAAAAGAAACTCATTAATGACTTTTAACACTGGAAAGTAAGATATTTCCAAGATTCAAATGAATGATACCAGTCTGCATGTTTTATAAAACCAATCAGAAGAAAACTTATCAGTCAAAATGGTAATCAATGAATTGGATTGTCTAATGCACTCACAATTTCAACAATTTGGACATGTTTCCATAAGAAGCTGGAATTGTACTCCCATCAAAGTGGTTATTATCAAGCTGACTGCAAAACAATGAACAAAAAGAAAGGCATTAACCAAAAAAACCATTCATGAGGCCCTACAATAGATGAGACATAAAAAATGTAGAATTTAATGGAACAAAAGGATGGTCTAGTCGGAGTTTCAATGGAGAGATTTTTTCCTCTTTTGATAGCCAACAGAAATGAACTTCACTCATTTATAGTGATAAAAGAACCACACTGTCCAAGACAGACAGCAAGAGCAATACAAGAACAGCATTCAGCTGAATGACTAATACATGATTTTATTGGTAAACAAATTAAAATCATTCCCTAGCCTTGTTAAACCCCATGCAAGCTCTTGTCTTGTCTCCTTGTCTCCCCTGCTTTTGCTAAGGAATCTACTAGCCCATTTGCAGACCTAGGCATCCATCTGAAGAAGCAATTCAGTAGCTTTCTACATATTTATTTTCTCTTACTAAGAATTGGAACATCCATGGGAGTTCTGCTGTTTCAGTGGATAGATAACCTCCTATTTATCATTTCCATGAAAAGAAAATATCATTTAATCCATATGCAAGTAAAAAGTCATTAAGCAATGATGGTCCAGATATTTGGGGTTTTTGGAGGGGTAGACCAGATATTGACTTAACTTTTGCATTTTTACACTAAGTGGCTGCTCTCAAATTATAATCAACATGTACCTTTGGAAAATTACATTTGTTCAAGTGGGGAAGGCTAAATAAGATGAAAGCAAAAGCATTAGAACCTAATGGTATTCCAATAGAAGTTCAGAAAGGTATGGAAGAGGTAGGTTTATTATGGCTAACTAAACTATTTAATAAGCTAATGAAAGCAAAGATGTTAGATGAACAGAAAAAGAGCTCTGTAATGCTTATATTTAAAAACAGTCAGTGTACAAAGATATGGTAACTATGAAACTTTGAATCACATTATGAAACATTGGGAAAAAAATACTGAATGGCTTTTTATCAAGATTGTTGGGATATCATTAGAGATGATTTTATGGATGTGTTTAAGGAATTTTATGAGGTAAAATCAACTCAAATGCTAATGCTACTTTTATTGTGGTAATCCCTAAAAAGGTGGATGCTAGTCACCCAAAAGATTTTAGGGCTATCAATTTAGTGAGCTTCAGGTATAAAGTCATAGTTAAGGTCCTAGCCTTGAGGATAAAGAAGATCCTTCCCTCCATGATCTCTCCTAATCAAGGAGCCTTTGTACATTGAAGACAAATCATTGACCAAATATTAATTGCTAATGAGGGTGTTGATAAACTTGATTTTGACAAGGCCTATGATCTGTAAATTTGGATACCTCCGTTCTTGTCATTATTCCATCCTTGTTAATGGAGTGGTGAATGATTTCTTTCCAACTGTAGAGGGTTAAGGCAAGGTAATCCTCTCTCACCTTTCCTTTTTACTCTAGTAGCTAATGTTTTTAGTAGATTCTTCTCTAAAGTAGATAACGTAGATAAGGAAGATGAGTTGGGTGGGGGGGATTAGAGTGGGCATAAACAATATCCTAGTCACTCACCTCCAATTTGTATATGATATTATAATTTTTTTGTGAAAGGGGAGATATTAGGAGAGTGGAGTTGTCTAGTAGAGACTGAGATCAGCTCTACTCTAGATGAGAATTCAAAATAGAGAATGGAATAGGGAGAGAGAGAGAGAGAGAGAGAGAGAATAGAGAAGATGAAGAAAGATTTCAGAAAAGAGAGTAAATAGGCTTGTTGCCCCCACTCAGTTATATATATATATATATATAAATATATATATATATATAAATATATATATATATATAAATATATATATATGTATAAAATAACTTAAAAAAGTACACTTACAATATTGCCCCTACTAACATAACATGTCAGCAACTTAAAATAATAACAGAAATAACTAACTTCTAACTTAACTTACTGACACTAACAGCATTATAAATAAAGACATTACTACCCTACAACTCTACACACCCCCTCAAGTTGGGAGTAGATATCAATCATTCCCAACTTGCATAAGTCTATCTCCAGCTTGGTCTTGGGAATTGCCTTAGTGAAGAGATCAGCAAGTTGCATGTCAGAGGCAATATATGGAAGATACACTTTTTGAGAAGCAACTTTCTCTCTGATAAAGTGTCAATCCACTTCAATATGTTTAGTTCTGTCACGTTGAACCGGGTTATGGGCAACATTAATAGCAGCCTAATTATCACAGTATAACATCAAGGGCTTCTCATAAGCAATACCCAATTCTTCAAATAGAGATTGTAGAGAAGATGGGCCAAATGGCCCATAGGCTGTTATTCTATGTTATATTTATGTTCTTTTCTGTAATGGGCCTTATTCTGGGTCCATACTCTTCTATGCTGTGTTTTTGTAATTTCTTGCACAACCAAGGGCCTCTTTTGTAATTATTCAAGAATTAACTTAATAAAATTGTATTAGAGTGTTAGAGGGRGAGATTARTTYRAACCTCTCATCCTCTAACCCTCCTTGCCGCCAGCTCTCTCTCTCCATCTTCACCAATCTTTTCAGCTGTTTGCCTTTTCTGGTTTTTCATCTAATCTTACACAGTCCCATACTTCGAAGGGCTGTTTTTCAACTTGGTATCAGAGCAGGCCTGAGCTTGGCGTGGCTCTCATGTGGGTATAGTCCAGCTGACTGCATGAGGGTATTCTAGGGCTGGAAGTTTAGACTCATTCGCCTAATTCTTGGAGGTCATTGGAGGGTGCCCAAGACTTTAATCACTTGGAGAATAGTTCGGTGACCAGGAAGAATCAGAGAGAAGGATTGTTCGGCCTGATTTGGAGCTCGAATCAGAGATTGATAAAACTGTAAGTTGCTTCAATTATTTCTAGGTTATATTTCTGATTTGGGGGGACTGTTAGAGTGTTCGAAACCCCTCTAAATCTGTTCAGCTGTTCAGTTGTGGTCATCCTGATTTAACTCAGAGATTTCTGGGTTGGTTTCTCATCTTGTTGGACTGTCAAGTGGCCGAAACCTTTTTGGACTCAGTGGCGTGAGTTCCTACTTCAATTCAGAAAGGTTTCGGCCACTTGACAGTCCAATCGGGTACTCCGCTCTGGTTCGCTCGCTTCACTCGCTCACCCTTGACAGTCCAATCGGGTACTCCGCTCTGGTTCGCTCGCTTCACTCGCTCACCCAAGCTCCGAGAACCCCCTATTTGCTATGTTGTTCATTCATCCATCATAATAAAATATCTTCTTAAAAGCAATTAAAATTATAAAATCATTATTTTTTGTGTGAGAATTAAGCATTTAAGACCCTAACGTGGACATGTTTGGGCTTGTCTTGAGGGGCGTGGCACTAGGGGGGGCGCCAGGGGCAGAGCCCCCAGCCTAGCCGCTAGGTTTAAAAAAAAAAGCAAAAAAGTGTCAAATTTTCAAAAGGCACATGCCTAGATTGAGGCGCAAGGTGCATCAGGTGCATGCCTAGGTGCACCAGGCATGCGCCTTTTGAAAGGGCTGCGCTTAGGACCTAGGCAAGGCGCATACCCTAAAATGTGCCTCGTCTATTCGCCTTTCAAATCATTGCCTCTTATATGGTTAAATTCTCGTCCATGTACTCAATTTCCTTGAACAAAAGGAAAGTAATTGCAGATGCCTGTTGTAATGGAGACTCTTGGGACTTGGGATTGGAGACCAATGCATAACTCAAAGTGACCTTTTCCAATACCTTGCTTTGATAATTCATAATAAGAGATTGAGGAGGATGTTGCCCATAGAATTAGAGTAGGATGGGCAAAACAAAGAGGTGCATCCAAAGTCCTATGTGATAGGCAAATACCACTTAGGTTAAATGAAAAGTTCTATAAAATAGTTGTAAGGCCAGCTATGTTGTATGGAGCAAAGTGTTGGGCAGTCAAAAAACATGTCCAAAAAATGAGCATGGTAGAAATGTGTGTGTTGAGATGGATGAGTGGAAAAACTAGAAAGGATAGGATTAGAAATAAAATCATTTGAAGCAACCTAGGAGTAGTTCCAAATAGGTGATAAAATGAGAGAAAGTAGACTAAAGATTGTTTGGTCACATGCATACCAGACCATCAACAACACCCATAAGAAGAAGTGATGTGCTGCAAGTTGATGGGGCTAGAAGGGCAAGGGGTAGTCCAAAAAGGACACAAATAGTAGTAAGAAATGATTTTTTTTCTCTTTTGAAGAAAGACAACTTTTCAACTAGTATGAATTGTACAATTAGCCCACATATCTCCCTATATGGACCAACACTCCTACCTTGATTAATTTCAGGAATAGAAAAATCAAAGGGGTTTCATACTCTGATACCAACTTGGAATAATCAAGCAAATATAATATGCTGCTGTATTCACTTGTTATGAAAGAGAATTAGGAGTAGAGAAGAGGAAGTGGAGAAGAGAATGAAGGGTTTAAAAGAGAAGAGAATCAAGAGAGGTTACAGTTGGCTCTCTCTCTACCTGATATACTTTTACTTTAAAACATATAAATTTACAAATTTTCCCCTTTTATAATAAAAGGCAATAACAATTATAAACTCCTCTAACTTCTACAACATAGAACAAGCTTTCTTTATTCTTCTCATTGATCTTTGTTACAAACAACCAAGTTATTTTGTGAGTTATATATTTTATTGGAGGTGTTGCTATTATATGCAACCCCCTGCTCTGACATTGCTTGTTTTGTGGAAACCTGACTATGGGTTTGATGGGACCACTAAAGTAGAGAAGATAAATTTAAAAGAACAAGCAAAACACAAGATATATGTGGTCTGGTAGGATGCCTATGTAATAGGCAAAGACAACTACAGTAATCCACAACTAAACCAACAAGGTTGCAAAAATCAACACAAACACCAAATAGACTAGTTCCTGAATCATATGGAATTTCTAAAACTGATGCATAATATTTGTACTCAAAGCAAAGTTATCACTCATTTAATTAAAGACTTGTTTTTTTATCATTCACTTAAGACAGACCAAGGAAACCATAATTCAATATTTTTTGAAACTGCTACGAGGATGCTTTAGTGGAGAAGAGAGACCATACAGTATAAGCAAGTTTGGCAGCTCAGAGAACTCTGGTGGAAGATACCCTGATAAATTGTTATTGTCGAGCAGGCTGCAATGATTCAATCAGTTAATAATACATGCCTTGCACAATGATAATATGATATCAATACTTGAGATCACAGACAGCATGCAATGACAAGGTTATGATCCAAAATAAGTGCAAAAGGAGTGCCATTACTTACAAATGAACAAGACTTGGTAATCGAGAAAGCTCAGGGGGGATTTGCCCGCTAATTGAGTTATTATTCATGTGGCTATATGAGATTTTACATGCACAAACAAAAAGAGAAAGAGATCAGTTACATGCGATTTTTTTAAGATCAGCTACATGGTAGCTGTTCAGATTTGTTGCCAGGGGAAGAAGAGATTGAAAAAGAAATCAACTGACAAGTGCTTGGTTTTGTTCAGGTTTGCAAAAGATTTAGGCAATGGTCCTGATATTTGGTTCTGGTCTATTTGGATTCTGTCCAAATTGGGGAGAAAGCCAATCTCTTCAGGCAAAGGACCTGTTAGTTGATTGCCATTCAAAAGCCTGCAAATTAAGCACTCCAGAAATTAGAAATAGAGCCACACTGACCCCAAATTTTTTCTTGATACATAGAAATTTGATGGTTGTTTCATGTTTCTGAATTTTAGAACATAAAATTAAGTCCAACTGAGTCTGACAGAGAAGCAGTTCAATGTACAGGAGTTCCAAAGATTTAATACTGCCTATCTCCTTTGGTATACTTCCACTTATATTGTTCCACATGAAATCCCTTCAGAAACAAAAGAAGAAATGATCAGCATAAGCAAGACCTAATATGAAACTATTCGGTGAAAAGGAAATGTTTACATGGATGAATAAATAAAGAGAAATATCTATTAGAAGATTCACATTAAAAGTTTTGCATTTTCAATTATGTTTGACTCACAGAATATTCATATATGATAATTGGCCAAGCTCAGGTGATAAAGTTCCAGAAAGATTCATATTTAGCAGTTGGCTGCAAAAAGGGGAAAAGGAAATAAGCTATCAGGAAAACATAGTAGGTAATGAATGACAAAGAACTTTCAACTTATAAACACAGATATTGGAATGCATTGTTAGAGATATTTAGAGGATTAATGAATAGATAACCGGCACTATATCTTTGAAATGAATCAAATGATGCATCCATTTTATTATAACATTTTCATATAATACTGGACCAATGCAGCTATAGACTATGTTTCATATAATACTGTATTATCCAAAAAGCATGGATAATACAGTACAGAACCCTCATGCTAAATTTTGGAAAAATTTTCTCCCCTTGGAGAAGATATGCAATCACCTCCTGTGGTATTTCCTTGTTTAATTTTCCATGCTTTTAGATATTTTTTTTTGGAAAAAGGTAAAGTAATTTATTCAGAATAAAAGAAGATTACAACAAGGCCCAGACCACTAGATATACCTGGGCCCAAAACAGATTACAAGTACATCCATGATTTAGTGCAAAATAAATGAGATACATTCTGATTTTTAAATTCCTCATTCACCAACACCCAGGAACAAATCTTCCCCACCACTTTCTGCACTACTTCTGGGCTTTTAGATTGATCACAGAAGATTCTGTTGTTTCTTTCAGTCCAAATGGACCAAAGAACAGCTTGCAGAATGGTATTCTAAACAAGGTTTCCTTTCTTACTGAGACCCTCCATTTTCCAACACATTAGCAGCTCCTTCACAGATTTTGGCATAGACCAGCAAATCTCCAACTTCTTGAAAAAATGTTCCCAGATTGAAAAGGAAACCGGACAGTGGATACACAAGTGCTCTGTAGATTCTGTACAGTTTCCACATAACACACAAGAGGGGTCTAGAATCTGAACCCCCTTCTCTCCAGATTAATCCTAGTCAAACATTTATCCAGAGCCATTGTCCAAACCAGGAAGTTGACCTTGGAGGGGCAAGCTGGATTCCAAATCTGCCTAGCACGGAAGTTCTCCTGACCTGAACTGCACACCTTAAGAAAAAGGGATTTAACTGAGAAGCTACCAACTGCATTCCACTTCCAAGACCATTCATCTTCCAAACTCAAATCAATCCTCTGATTTTGAAGCAGCCCCAACAGTACCACATACTCTTCCACTTCCCAATCCAACAAATTCCTCCTACAGAGAAGGGTCCAAATGGTGGAATCCCCAGAGATGCAAATGTTATCAGCAACTGAAGAATCTTGATTCACTGCAATTTGGAACAGACAAGGAAAGGCTTCAGCCAAGGGACCCTCCACACACCAGAGGTCCTTCCAAAACTTGATTCTGTCCCCTTTACCAACCTTAAAACTGATCCTGTTCATAAAAAGAGTGTTGTACTTAGAGATGCCTGCCCAAAGAGAATTACCCCCAATTGGATGAGGATCAAGAGTTCTCCAATCACCCCATACCACTCCATACTTTGCCGCAATAAGACTCCTCCACCATGCATTCCTCTCAAAAGCAAATCTCCATAACCATTTACTGAGAAGAGCAGAATTAAATTCTTTCAACTTCCTAATTCCCAGTCCACCCACATCCTTAGGAAGGCACACTTGCTCCCAATTTACAATGTGAGTTTTCTTCTCATCTTCCCAACCTCTCCATAAGAATTTCCTTTGGAGTTGTTCCAACCTATTTGCTATTTTGTTTGGGATTGGAAAAAAAGAAAGGAAATAAGTGGGGAGGTTGGAAAGGGTGCTCTTAATCAATGTAACCCTACCACCAAAAGATAAATATCTTGCCTTCCAAGAGGCCAGCTTCTTCTCCATTCTCTCAATGATTGGGCACCAGATTGAGGAGGAAGAATATTTGGCCCCGAAAGGCAGACCCAAATACTTTACCGGGAGGAAGTCAATTTGACAAGCCATCACTTGTGCACAATCTTCTAAATTTGAAACATGGCCCACTGGGATGATCTTACTTTTACTCAGGTTGACTTTGAGACCCGACACCACTTCAAACCAGCTCAGAATTCCAAGTATTGTGTCTAACTGATGTAGAGAGGCATCCACAAAGCATAGGGTGTCATCTGCAAATTGAAGGATACTAACTTTCTCCTTTCCAGGGGAGATAGCAAACCCATTCCATAAGCCTGAGTCTACAACCTTCTTACTAAAAAGTGTGAGGATTTCCATAACACAAATGAACAGAAAAGGGGATAGAGGATCACCCTGCCTCAGTCCTCGAGAGCTACCAAAGAACCCCGTGGGTTGCCCATTAATTAGGATTGAAAATTTAGGGGTCTTGGTACAAACACTGACCCAGTTTCTCCAATTTTGTCCAAAATTCATGATCCAGATAGTTCCAGTTGATGCAGTCATATGCTTTCTCAATATCAAGTTTACAAACAACCCACGGGATGCCCTCTCTTCTTCTAGAGTCAATTAATTCATTGGCAATTAAAATTGAATCAACCATCTATTTTCCTGGCACAAAAGCACTCTGTTTATTAGAGGTTATATTGCCTATCACCCCTTTCATTCTTTCTGCCAAGACTTTCACCAAGATTTTGTAAAAACTATGTAGCAAGCTAATAGGCCTAAAGTCCTTAATATTCACAACCCCCTCAATTTTTGGAATGAGGGTTATAAATGTGGCATTTAAACTTCTTTGCAAAGAGGCATTAGCATGAAACTCCTGGAACACCTTCATCAAATCCTCTTTCACAAAATTCCAACACTTCAGATAGAAAAGATTTGTGAAACCATCTGGCCAAGGCGACTTATCTCCTTCTAGATTCTTAATTGCTGCACTGATTTCCTCTTTTGTAAAAGGTCTTTCAAGCCATAATTTCTGATTTTCAGTCAACTGCCTGAAAGGGAGATTTGAGGGAAAGGGTCTATACCTCCACTTTTCCTTGTAGAGCTTTTTATAAAAGGAGGTTGCAACTGATTTGATCTTTGAATCTGATTCTCCGCTTTTATCATCCTATACTAACTTATTAATAGCTGAGACTCTAGCTCGAGCATTTGCCACTTTATGAAAGAAGTGTGTATTTTGATCACCCACCTTTAGCCAAGTGATCTTAGCCCTTTGTCTCCACCTTATTTCCTCTTTCACAACCAATTTGTCAATGTTGTTTTTTGCTTGAGATCTTTTTAGCCTTAATTCTTCAGAAATTGGCCCCAATTCTTCAGCTCTATCAATCTCTTCGATGGTACCTAGTAAAGCTTTCTTTTCAATCCCCAACTTTAACTTTTTCTCCAAACTCCAAATTTTATTCTCCTTTTGATAGAAGATAGTTTTTTTGCCAAAATGAAGGAGCTGGATCCCTCCACCTGATTTTCTTCCTACACAGCATTCATCAACGGAATAAGATTGTCTTCCTCATACCAAGTATTTTCAAATTTAAGGGAGCTTTAATTTTCTCCCGATGCCCACAAATAAGGTGAATAGGACTGTGATCTGAAACAGGTCTGGGGAGGGTGATCTGCCTAAAGTCCGGAAAGACATCCTCCCAATTTGAAGATACCAAGAACCTGTCCAACCTGACAAGGGTAGGATTTTCTTGGTTATTTGTCCACATGAATCTGTTACCTTGAATAGGGATATCCATGAGATCCATATTATTAATAAAATCTGCAAACCGCCTCATTGACACAGTTCTGCCACTCCTTGTGTTCTTCTCTTCCACCGGTAAGGTAACACTAAAATCACCACCAATGACCCAAGGATGAACCAAAGAGCCTCTCATATCAACCAAATCCTCCCAAAAGCCCGCCCTGAGATTAGAAACTGTTGGTCCATACACATTTGTGATTTGAATAGTATTACCATATTGCAGCTTCATGACTAGAGAAATTGAGAAATTCCCACTTCTACAAGAAATCAAACTACATACCAAGGGATCCCAAAGGCATAGCAAGCCCCTTGCACTCCTAGTAGCTGCCTCTGCCTTCCATCTTACCTGACCATCTCCTCAAACACTCCGAATAATACCAACATCAATTTTGTCCAGTTTAGTTTCTTGAAGCAAAACAATTTTCGATTTCGACGTCTTCAGGGAATCACAAATCACCATTCTTCTTCTCCCCGACCCCAAGCCTCGTACATTCCAAGAAAGAATTTTTAAGTTCATTAATAAAACAATTCGAATGAGCAAACACCCCCCACTCCAAACTCTCTACCACCTTCCTCTCAGTTTTTCTTCGACTCCCTAACAGCCCCTTCGCTACTCCCTGCCTTCTCATTCAGACCCCAGGTAAGACGCATAATTTCCCTGTTCCTCTTGGAATTCGTTCCCCTTTTTTTGTTGCCATCTTTCCCCTCTCCATAAGAATTCTTTGTTCAATCTCTTCCATGAATTTCACTGTTTTTGCCTCCATTCATTCCATCGAAACCCCCAGAAAATTCCCCAATCCTAAAAGCTTAGAAGTAACCCAAGAGGAAGACTAAGTAGAGTTGTTACTCAATTTACCTTCCTACTTAGTCCCGAGATTTGAGTTGCTCTTAATTTCTTTCTGACAATTTTCTTCACTTTGTTTCATCACCACAGGAGTTTTCTCTCTTTTCACCGTCATTTTGGGTTGTTCAGGGTTGTCATTCACACTTACATTTTGTTCTTCAACATCCACCACTGCTAACGACATCACCTCCAGCAATTTATCATTCACAGGTACTAGGGAAAGAGAAGTTTGCTGCAGTCGTCGATGGTCAACCTTCGTCGAATTCACTAGCCCAGGATGGCGAGAGAGGGATGTCACGATCTCCTGGCTATCACCTCTAATCTCAGCATCAAGGGATGGAGAAGACAAATACACTGAGGTCCCAAGCGCACGCCACCCTGTTTGCATAAGAGGTTGGGAGATCCACGTCGGCTCCAACCAACCCAGGTTACACTGGTTCCAATCGAACTGGACTACACCGTCTTTGTCTGCCACAGGGCCACCTTGGTTCACTGGCAGACTTAGAAATTTTATTTCTTCTAAGCTCCTGAGTGGGTCGGGTATTTGGGTTCTTTTGACCCGGGTCGAGGTCCTGGACCCATTTCGAGAAAGGCACACCTACAGATTCCCCGACCTCTGAAGACTGTCTTGCCTCATTAACTTTACTCAGTGGGTTCTCCTCCATGGGCGCCACTTGTAATTCTTTTAAACTCTCTTATTAAATTTTTAATATCTTCAACCATCGCACCTCCCCCAAGGTTTCCCATCTTCGAAAAAGAAGCACTTCCCTCAAGACCTTCTCTTGAACTGAAATATTGGCCCTCTGTTGATAGTGGAATCAAATGGATCCTATTAAGGCCAAGAGTCCCTTCATCTTCTCCACCGAGCTCTGACAACCTCACCGACGCAACTTCACGACCCTAGAGATTTCTCGGAGGTTCATGCGGCAGAGAACACTCACTGACATCCTCTAAGACTACTGTCTTGGAAACAGCCGAATCCGATCTCTCCTTATGAATCTTATCTTCTATGTGACTCTCCATCTTCCACCTTCAGACTGACGGTAAAGTTTCAAGCCAAATGGAAACCAAGTAGAGAGACTCCCCAGCCACAATCTCCACCTTAACAGGAATTGTATCTCCTTTCTTCACCTTCATTCGAATCCACTCACACGTAGCCAGCTCAATGGAAGTATCATCGGTTTCAAGGAAACCACCACAAGCATCTCTGATCCCTTTGATGACACTCGGACACCATAGTAGCAGAGGCAGACCAAACACCCTGATCCAGGTGGCCTCCAACCGGTCAAAGTCCCCATTCGATTCCAGAGAAACAGCCCGCACTAGCTCCCCACCAATCAAGGAGGAGAGGGTTCCTCCCCATTATCCATGGACCATTATCAAGAATCCATTTTGCATCTGATCTAGAAGGCAAAATGAATAGAAAGAGTTCATCCGCCAGCTTCTTCACCCTCACTCCCCCCACATCCTTCCAGGCTCTACTTACCCAACTATCCACCTCTTGCAACCCTACCTTCCTCCCGAATCTTCCCACTAAACAGTCACACAGAAAGTTTCTTCTTGCCTCCACCCCATTCATCTCCGTAAATACCACCTACTTACCTTCCACTTTTTTCAGTTCAATCCGGCCATGCTCCCGCCTTCACCGTCTTGCTGTAAGAGAAGTTTGGTCTTGCCCACGCACCCATCCCTTCTCTCCTGTACCAGTTCTGAGCTTCCCATCTCCTTCCTCCCCTTTGGAGTCTCCGGGAATAACTTTTATGGAACATTTTACAGGGTAGAAGCTAGAACGTCCCAAACTCTGAGAGGCTTTTATAGGATCACCATCAGCAATAGCAAGAACCAGGCCAGCATATTAGAGCCTCAAATCACCAGGGAGATCCTTCACTTGTCCATAGTCTAGCAAAGCAACCTGATTTTTTTTTTTTTTTTTTTTTTTKGGGGGGGGGGGAGGGATTTGAGAGATTTTAGATATGGTCCTAAGCATATCTAAAATAGTTGCTTCTACATATGTTTTATGGTCCTAAGCATTTGACTGTCAGAGAAGTGTTCAAATTGTGGGCCCCTCTCTCTGTTTCTCTCCTCTCTATCCTTCACGATTGACAACATGTATTAGTTTATCATATGAACAGAGATATACAGAGAGAAGGTAGGAGTTCCAGCCACCTTATAGGATGCCATCCTCTTTCATTAATAACCATTGGGCATTTTACTCTTATTAAGATACATTGAATGAATGGTTGAGATTAATTAAATAGATTTTAAGCAAGGTCTTTTTAATTAGTAACAAATGACAAACTTTACCAGTAGTAAGAGGAAAAAAATAGGAGTACACAAAGAACCAAAATAAAGCAGAAGCTTACCTACAGCTGTCATGCTACAGCCACCCCATACACCTAATAATTAAAGAAAGAATCTCTCTAACCTGGTAATACATAGCCCCAGTATAGGTTGCCCTCCTCCCTAATCTTAAATGAAATGAAATTTGCCTTTGACTGTTGAGTTCCTCTGAAAACTTCAATTGCTTAGACAAGAACATTGTTGGGAATCTTTTCCTCAGTTTCTCTTATAGAGATCCAAGCTTCAATAGTTCAATATGATTGGAGTATTTCTTAATCAGTTTCCTTATATGTAAGACATATTAGATTTTCTCGCTGTTTTAAAAGGTTCGCAAGTGAGCCTCATTTGATGGGGTGCATATTGCCTGAACCCAAGTGTCCCTCACATGGCTTATTGCAATGTTTTCATGAATTAACCTTGAAATTGATATTGAATGTGTGATTAAATAGTAGGTTGTATCTATGCTGCTAAGAGTTTCAACAACTTAGCCTATGTAGGACTTGCACATTTTGTTAATAATAACATAACACTCTAAGTGGCACCTTATGGCGTACTAATACAACTATAAATTGTAATGAAAGATATAATACAACTATAATAAACTAAATTAGAGAATAACCCCCCCCCCCTTCTAATAAAATTTGTTTGACAACTATTTTTCATGTTGTAAATTTGTGTGTGTGTGTGTGTGTGTGTGAATAAAAGGTCGACTACACCAAATAAAACATAAAGATGAATAAAAGGTTAACTACATTGACAACTAATCAAAATAATCATTACAAAAAAAAGAAAAAAAAAACTTGACTTTATGAAGCCAACTAAGTCAAATGAAATGAGTATGGAAATATGAAACAAAGAGAAATAAGAAATACGACCATATGACATTAATGAAAGTATGAAACTCAAGATAACAAAAGATAAAATAGAATTATTGATAACATACAGTTCTGGAACATGTAAATAACCACCATTTTCTGTCATATATCACATAATGTTAATGAAACTCAAGATAACAAAAGACAAAGTAGAATCATTGATGACATACAGTTCTCGAACATGTAAATATCCATCTTTTTCTGTTATATTGAAGCACAAAACCCCTGTCCAATTTGAAATGCATGGATCTCCCTTATTCCAATTTCTTAGATTGTTCTTAGGATCATTCAAATTTTTCTTGATGGCCTGCAATGCCTTTACTGCAGATGCATACAAACAATAACAATATTTTCAGTCAGTAATAAAAATATTGTAACATCATTAGCTTTCTTCTTGCTTTGCACATATATCATAAATCAAGGGATCTAGTTTTAATTGAAGCACATGTATTTGTAAATTTTTCCCAAGTACTTATTAGCAGTTTGTCATTGTTGAAGCATATAAGTTGTACAATATTGCAACTTACTGGTTTCTTCAAGCAACTAAAGAAGAAGCATAAATGCTATGAAAAAATAAACAGTAATAAACAATGTAACATGTAGAATGAATTCTCATTCTATTGCAATCAAATTCATGTGAAAACAATCACATTCAAAATACATTAACACACACACGCACACTAATTGATTACATTGATAAGCAGAGCATCATTAAGTATAGTAACAACCTAGTTTAACACTTTTAACTCATTTCAACCCTTGGTGCAACTTGCAGATACTTGGTGTCGGCATGCCATATTTTTTCTATTAACAAACAGGAAAATAAATATTTATGATGGCAGTGGTTAATTACAAGTTCTCAATCCCCTTCCAAGATATAGAGGGAATAAGAGGAAAACAACTAGCACATCTGACAAAAAGATTTTAAAATATAGAAAGGCAATATAAAGGGTCTACTACTCAGTGGAAGTCCCTAGAAAGACTGATAATTCTGGATTCTTCTATTAAAACTACCAGCTAGGTAGTTTTCTGAAGTATGCACATCCAAGCTAGTGCTTCATTCTGGATTCTATTGATCACATCTCCCTGATGTAATGTTTAAGCATTGGCTTATCATATGAATTTTACAACTCTGCATAGGTGAGGATGAAAGGATGGGATATCCATCACATGGACGCCCAAATCCTGCGGAATGGGTAGGGCGAATTTCAAAAAAAAAAAAAAATTTCTCCCATCTTTGCAGGGAATCGAATTCCCTATTTCAGAAAACATATTTTCAATGATCAATCTTGAATCAAGAACCAAATCAGATCTGAACCAAAAGTAGTAGAAGGGAGGATAT